CAATTCCATCCACCTACCTACAGGAGAATGATCCCTGGTGCTGCAAACAGTTAGAACTCAACTACTAACCTAAAGGTTAGTGGTTTGAACCATGGAAGAAAGGCCTGGTGACTTTCAGGAGTGCCTTTCAAAATCACAAAAGTGGCTTCATCGCATCTGGCATTAATAGCATACCTGTAAAGTCATAAGAGTGGGAATTTGGCATCTGCATTTTACAGAGAAGACAGCTGAATCTCAAGGAGTTAATATGACTGACTTAACAAGTGAAACAGCAGAGGCTGGACTCAACCTAGACTTCTGACCCCAAGCTCTTCCTCCCACCTACTAAAACCAGGATGCTGTTGGTGGCAGAGGGTCAATAGGGGTATTTCAGATAGAACATAGTAGAGAAAGAAACCCATAACTCTCAGGAAGAAGCTAAACAAGAGCATCTAAGAGCAACTCTCAATTCTAAAACCCTATAAGCCATGATATTAAATATTTATATATATATAAATATAAATTTATATTATATAGTGCAGAGGATAGGTATTAGGCAAAGTGAATTTGAAATTGAAATGCGAAGAGATGAGTGTAATATAAATGGTGTCACTGAAAATTACTGGGATGAGGCTCATGATGAGTGCCACCACATAGGGTATAGTTCTGAGAAGTCTCTGTATATGGAAAGAACATAGATTTAAAGTTTTAAGACCTAGGGTTAAGTCCCAGGTCCACCATTGGCCATGTCACCTTGAGTAAATATCATGATCTTTCTGTGGTTTACTTCTTTTCATATGTAAAATGAGGATAACTACCTTTCTTACAGGGTTATAGTGAAAATTAATCAAGATAAGGCACATGAGAGAGCTTCACAAATTATAAGCTACTATAGGAGTGTTAAGCAGTAGTTGGGATAACAGGAGCTGCTTTAAAATGGGTAAGAAAAGACTTGGAGCACACGTTAACAGTATTCAAATATTTTAGGGTTTGTTATATTGAAGTGGTTAAGTCCCTGGGTGGCACAAATCGTTTGTTCTCAGCTACTAACTGAAAGGTTGGCAGTTCGAATCCACCAGCGGTACCATATTATTCCAACCATATTATTACAACCCTGCAGAGCACAGTTCTACTCTGAAGCACATGGGGTCACCATGAGCTGGAATTGACTCAATGGCAATGAGTCCAGTTTAGTTATGTTGAGGTGGTAGATGTAGTCTGCCTGTTCAGAGAAAAGAACTGGGGCCAATGTATGGAAGTTACAGTGCAGAAGATTTCTTTTGAATCTAAGAAAGAACTTTGTAAAATGTAATACAGCACAGTGCAGAAATGGGCTGTCTCACAATTCAGTGAGCCCCCGCCCAGGAAGTTTTCAAACAGAACACCTGCTGGAAATGTGGAAAGGGGACTTCTGCATTAGGAAGGAGGTCACTTTTTGTTATTTCTAAATAACCCAAGATCTGTGATGAATAATTTTTGACAAATGGAACAATGTCAGGTTTGTACATGGCAATCTTAATGCACACTGTTTTCCTTCCCTCATAGGGATACTATAAAGAAATAATGCCCATGAACAGAACTGAAGCAGAATCCAAAGGCTGGCTGGCCTCTGTGCCTCTGACTATCAAGTAATGAGCTAGCCCTCACTTGGTACACACCCAAGGGCTTGTAGCAGGAAACAGTTCTCTGTCTCCATCACAGACTGTGCCTCCTACATGACAGCAGCAAAATCCTAATACTGTAAATAACCGCACCATCCACCCAGTTGTTGCTCAGACCAAATACGCTAGAATTGTCTTTTCTCTTACAACCCACACCTCATTAAATCCATCAGCAAATCTGGTTAACTCTAGCATCAAAACAACTTCTCCATGCCTTTATTATCAATACCCCGGTTCAAGCCTCTACCACCTCTCATCTTACTGGTCTCCCAACTCAGTCCTGACCCACAACAGTCTGTTTTCCATAAACAACTAGTGTTCCTTTTATATTGTATATTAGATCACGTCCTCTGCTCTCAACCTTACAATGACTTTGTGTAACATTTAAAATAAAATCCACATTCCTTTCCAAGACTTTCAAGGTCCTACATTATCTGGCCCCTAGCTACCTCTCCAATTTCTTTTCTTACCAGTTTCCCTCTTGCTCACTCCACCCAGCTACACTGGCCTGAGATATACCAAACACTTTTTGGTCTTAGGGCTTTGCACTTGCAATTTCTTTGCTTGGTGTGCTCTACCCTAGATGCTCATGTGGCTTGTTCCCTCATCACTTACCAGTCACCCCTGTTCCATTATTCTCTACCCTCTTATCTTGCTTAATTTTTCTTCCTAGCACTTACAATGTGACTTATTATTTATTTACTTTTTTTTTTTTTACTGTATATTTACCATCCTCCCCTCTAAAATGTAAGCTCCATAAAAGACTTTATTTATCATTATATTCATAGTGCCTAGGGCAGTTTCTGGTACATAGCAGACATTCAATAAACACTAGTTTAAGGAATGAATGACTAAAAGGACAATGCTTACTTCCAAATACTAGAGTTTTAGGTGACACACTTAAAGTGATAATTGTGGCAGATTTTTAGGATGGTAGTAATGTCTAATACTCAATTTTAGTTTTAGCTTATACTGTATGTGCCATAAGGTAATCTCTCTCCATTACCCGCAAACTTTCAGTAAAATTTGTCTACACACAGCAATTGTGGAGGTGGTGCCTTGAGGGAAATAAAGGTACTTTATTAGAGGTGACAGGAGCCCTAGGAGAGAACATCCACTGTCTGACTCCAGGTGAGAGCTTGGCAGCCTGCTATAGTGTAGACAGTCCAAGAGAATAAGCATCTCTCATGAAAATCCCATCAGGCTTGGAGAGAAGTCTGTACTTCCCACAGAATGTGAGATTGAGGCTCGTGCCATTCTATTTGAGAATTAGAAGAATGAGTGACCACACAGAGATGAAGAACCTTCCAGGTGGAAGACATCTGCATTGCCCTTGTCTCTGAAGATACATCATCTGGAATTGTGGACAAATGTTTCCACGTACAGAGGCAGCTTTGGCAGAAGTGAGAAAATCATCACTGAAGCAGTGTTTCCCCACCTTCTGGGTGAACCAAAAGGAGAAGAACGCCCATTTAACTGTCTGCATTTCCAAAGCTGGTTGGTTTCCAGGTGAATCCCAAGGGCCCCTGGCTACCATTAATGGCTATGTCATTTCTGAGCCTGAAGACCCTTAAGTTGTGAGGTTCTGATTCAGTTCTCCCAGGATCACCACAGTTCTGCCTCTGGATATTCCAAAACCCTGGCAAATAAAAAAAAGTGGAAAGTAAAAATATATATCTATGAACTGCTGAACTTACCAAGATCCCTTTGAAAGATGTACTTTAATGTGTGCCTAGGGCTTAACCGCCTAAGGAAATCTCCCACCTGGCTTTGAAAGGCCAGGCTTCTCGCTTCAGTTCCCCTCTTCTGAGGAGCTATTGCTTCAAATTAGTCACTCTTGCAATGATTGCCCACAGTAGAGCTGTTTTCCTGTTAAGTTGTGGTAAGTCAAACCTACTTCTGAGACAGCTAAGTCACCACTCCGGGGGGCTAAGAAAAGACGTGGGTTCTGTGTGTTTTTAGTTCTTAAACAGAAAAAAGAAGAAGAAAACCTCAAACTACTGAACCAGAAACAACCTTTTATTTATTTATTTATTTATTTTTGTTAATGTCCTGCTTTGGATTTAGAATTTCAGAAAGGAACAATGGCAGATTGCATTTTAAATGAGCACTTTCCTCGAAGTTTCAGATTTTTAGATTGCTCATGTTCCTACTGAAGTGAAAGAAAAGAATTCAAGGTTCCTAAAGGAACTGCTAACATCTCTTTCCTGGAACCAGTATATACAGCATAGTAAGCTACTAGCCTATCTTTAGGAAATCCCAAAGGCATCCTAGTATAGCTCAGAGTTAGAGGGATAAAAATTCCCATAGTATCACAAGTAGCTGATGACATCAGGTCATCCCAGCCCCATTTCCACTTTCTCCCTGCTTTGGTACCATTATTCAGAAGGGACCATTGACAAAAATGGTCCAGCAAGTTTCCTACGACCCTTGGCACTGGCATACTTAATGTTTGGAGCCAAAAGATGAGGAAAAGGTTGAGGAAGATGTATCCACGAGGGCTTAAAATACAGACCAGCAACCAGATGGAAGTGTGAATATCTGTCTGACTTTCTACACATGAGGTACCTGGTCAGAAAGTTGACCATCTAAAGGGGATGGATGAAGAGAAAGGTTTTTGGGGAGAGCCGGTGAAACACTCCAACCTGGAACTTTGGTTTTGTTCATTAATTTATTCAACAACTATTTATTGAGCAGCATGTAAATGAGTTTTATCTCTGGTTATCCAGCAATCTCCCTGACCCTGCCCTGACTAACTACTGGCATAATGCCAATGACCAAATATATCTTTTTTTTGTTTGTTTTCCAATATTATGAATTAGGATGTATCATTTATTTTTTCACCTGGAGCCCCAAACTCCCACTGAATAATATACTCAAAGCTGGACAAATGCTCACACACATTTGCGAAGCAACACTAATGTAGATTTACTACTCTGAAAAACATGCTCACACATGCAAAACTGAGAAATATTTGCCTTATAATCAAGGCTATTCAGTCAACAAATATTTCTTGAGTACCTAATATGTGCCAGGCATTGGGCTAAGTGCTGGGATTACAGGCAAAAAAAGGTCTTTCTTTTGGAACTTTTATTCCAGTGGAAGAAACAGATATTTTTTAGGTAGTCAAATAAATATTATGATAACTACTAAGAATTAAATAAGTAGCAGCAAAGTAATCCGACTTAAGATGATCTGAGGAAATGAAATGTAAACTGTTAAGACCTCAAAAATAAGAAGCCAGTCATGTGAGGACCCTGGAGAAGAGCATTCCAGGCAAAGAAAATGAAGCTCATGTGTATGGAGACAACATTCTCAGATGTTTGTCTCTGTAAGAAAAATGAAAATTGCAGTCATAACTGGAGGAAGATGAAGGGTAAAGAAACGGAATTTTGTTTAGTTTGGTTTGGTTTAGTTTGGTTTTTAATGAAAGGGACTACTTGAACATGTGTATATACTGGCAGAAATGGTTTCAGAGACAGGGATAACTTGAGGATTCCAAAGAGAGAAGAAATATTTTAAAGAGACAAAGTAGGAGAGAGAGAGTATAGGAGAGATCATAACTGAATGGAAGAAAGAGATGATGAAATGATGCAGATGCCGGTAGAATTGTGTCTTTGGTGGTGGGAAGTGAGGCTATATGGTGGGAGGAGGGGATGTGGTTGGTTTGCAAGAGGGAAAAAATGATATAATTGTCTTGAAGTGTGAAAAACATGCTTGCTAGGGAAACGAAGAAAAAGTGCCGAACAGTGTTGAATGTCCATTGAGACCTGTGAGTGGTTCTCAACCAGGGGCGATTTTACACGTCCTCTCCCCTAGGAACATTTGTCAATGTCTGAGACATTTTTGCTTGTCACAATGGGATGGGAGGATGCTACCGACATTTAGTGGATAAAAACTACGGATGCTGCTATACATATTACAATGCACAGAAAAGCCTCCACAACAAAGAATTATGCAGCGCACGATATCAATAAGAGCAAAGGTTGAGAAAGCCAGTGAGTGGTTGAAGAAAAGAAAAAAAGGTCATTGTGAGTGAGGAGGCCAGAATGTAAGAAACCAGGTGTTTGGATGGATCCCTCAGATCAGTGGCTTCTTCTGGAAAATGGAGTGCCTCTCATAGAATGGCTTATTAATAATGGTGGATACCATTTATTGATGTCCTACCATGAGTCAGATACTTTATGTGTATATCAGCTCTCTTTTGTCCAAGAAAGGTCAAGAGACCATCCCAGACATTTCATGGTTAGCAAGTAAACGAACAAAGATTTAAATCCAGGTTTTTTAGTCCAAAGCCTGTGCCCTTTGCACTATACCATGGCTCTGCCCCTGTGAAAGACAACTTGTTATCAAATCTATGAAAAGTTGGATGAGCTTAACACTGGCAATATTTGTATTGGAAACTGGGTAGTGGGAGGTGAAGAGGAAAGGAGAAACAGAGAGGGGAGAAGGGCCAGGCAAAGACGAAAAATTTGTTTCACAGTTCTTCCCACCCCATTAAATTCTTCTTAAGGTGGCCTTAAGTCACAGTGAATAAAGAAGTCATGGAGGAAGGAAATAATCAGGAAAAAGGCACCAAATCTTAATGGTTTCCAAAATGTACTTTTGTAATATTTATCTGCATTCTACAATATAGCTTTATTACACGTATCCTTTTCATTAAAATGCACAAAATGTGTATAAATATTGGTTATATTATAAGAAAACAGCATTGGTAGCTGACAATCAAAAATTAGAGTTGGCTGCCAAGAGGCTTTCAATTTACCCCCAAACACAACCCATATATTCCTAAAATGTACTTCACAAGTTCTCTAACTTATGCTACTCTTTCAGTCTCACACATGCACACACACACACACACACCAATTGCACTGGAAATACACATACTGTGTAGGGAGTGGACTGTGGCCCAGAAGCTCCCTCTTGATTCTCCATTAGCTTCATCAGGTAGCTCAGGCTAGGCATTAGAAGTGAAGATACTGCCAATGGGGCATTGGCTTTTTGCAGTCTCTTTAGCTTATCATGCAAGCCTACTCCTCTTTTTCCATCGCTTATACAGTCATGTCACCTCCACATATCTGAAAGACAGCTTCCCCCGAGGTAGTGAGTAGACCCACCCCAAGAGGTGAGTTAAAAAGTGTCCTTTTCAATGTGTGAAAATGTTCTTGGTCACTTAAGGTGACTGTTGAACAAGCCTGGCAGATACTTTTCACTGTCTCTGTATCTTCACCTGGTCAGAATTTTATGTTCCTCAGTCATATTCCTCCTCCTATCTGGATCATGGACCTTACGTGAGAAGAGGAACTGCAGACCCGCTGGACCCTGTAGTCTTAAGGTTCTCTTGGTTCATGCCTTCTCACTTGACTTCAAGCAGGCTTACGAAGACCCTCATTCAAGACAGCATTTTCAGTGCCTATAACAAGGAACTATAATGGAGAGTATTCCAAAGTGCTTTTTTTAGAGCTTATATAAGCCAAAAAATGTCTTAGATTCCTCAAAATTGACCAGAGAAAGCTCAGATACATTGACATATAAATGGTCAGCAATGGTGAGATTGAACACTGCTCCTAGATAGCTGCTGCGTGCCCACATCTGACCAGTAGTGCAGTAGTTCATCATCATCTCCTCCATCAGCACCAGGTCCTGGGGATATTTAGAGTTCCTCATGTAGACCTTGTGGTTCAGGGGCTGGTTGTTGCAGGAACGGCCCCGGAAATATACTTTAGAATACACAAAGTACAGTCCAGTGTCATTGATCACAAGGCCGCCCTTTTTATACTTCACTCCAGAGACCAAGGCAATTCCATAGGTGTCTTCCCATTCCAAAGGGATGGACCTTAAGTTGGGATTTCCTGAAATCAAATCAGAGAGGGTTTATCATCTAGGAATGCTCACACATCCAACAAATGAAGCTTCCAAGCCTAAATTGTGAGACTTCCTTGAGTAAATGTTTTACCCAGAATGACATAGCACATATAGAACTGGCTGAGGGGTGAGAAATGGATCCATCACTGAATTTCTTCAGCACCTTTGTCAAATTTCCTCATCACTGTCTCCCTCGATTTTATCATCCACCCACTGGGGACAATAAAATATACCTTTAATCAATCCCAATGAGAAATTATTGAGATGATTTTAGTTGTCTGGAACAAAGATTTCATGATCTCCACAATTAGCACCAAAACTGCTAGGCTTTGAGGTCTTTCCATGAGGGGAAAAGCCAAACCAGAGGAATCCTAGAGTCCTAAAGTTGGGAAGGATGTTAGAGATCACCTGATCCAACTTCTCACCTACACTTGTCAATTGAGGCTAAAATCCCCTCTCCACTGTATCCCTGTAACATTATGTGCATACTTTCATCATACCTTAATCAGAGTACTCTCTCTAATACTGAAATTATCACTTATGGGTCTATCTTTCCCTAACAGATTTCAAGCTCTTTGAAGGCAGGAACCATGTGTTATTCATCTCCATGTGCCAAACTTGACACACAACAGGTTCTCAATAAATGCCTGTTGAACTGAACTGGATCATTCTGCAGTCTCTGGCTAAGTAATTCCAGGGACAGTGGGCTCACCACTTGCTGTGATATTTACCCACTTTTCAGATAGTTTTGAACTTTGCACTAGGAGTACCTACCATATTTCTAGCAAATCTTTTCACTCCACTACACAACCGCAGGCTGAAAGTCCACAAATGCCAGGACTGAGTCTCCCTTCTCACTCTCATTTCTACTGTTGGACAAAGAAGAGTGAAGCTCTCCCAAAAAACCAGGGAAGTGTCGACTAAACAATTCATTGTTCCCCATCTTCTGAGCTCTCACCTCTTAGACCTGGGCCCCAAATCCTTTAAGGGTCTTTGGGATAATTGAAAAGTGTGAGCTCCGTATGGGCGGTGATCATGTTGTAATTAGAGTTTAGAACAGGACCTTCCCCCCACAGGTGCTCAGTCTATGTTTGTGAGATTGACCTGACTAGAAAGATGTGACTACTCTCGGGGTCCAAATACTGTCATTAGAAAGTATCAACTCCCTCACAGCACAGTAATGGAATTTTGCTTTTTGCCATTGGCTTTTCCAATCACCCCCCTGCATAGGCTCTGCCTTCCATATACAGACCTGTTAAATGGGCCACTTTCTTCACCTCCCTTTTTTCAGAAGGTAGACTGGGCTGACCTGTATCATAGAAAAACAAAAGATGCATGTAAAAATGAGATAGCAACTATTATCTTGGTGAAACACTAAACAGGGCATTTAAATAAAAGAGATTTTAAAAAGCATAAGTGGCAACAGTCTAACATATACTAATCATGCAATGCAAACTGTAGAACTCACAGCAGTCTATATTTCAGAAACAGAGAGGTAAAAATAAACCAAATTAAGGCAGACATAAGTATATATGTATATTATAATAAAACATAATTAGTATGAAGGTTGATTTATAAAGAGCTGTCATATTGGTTACTTTTGATATTTAAGTAATTTAGATACTACCACCCTCTGAAGTAGTGAATGAACAAATGAGCTTAAAAGTTAGGTGACTTGTCAAGAAGACCCAGCTATTCAGTGTCAGAGATGGGAATGACACTCAAGTCTCCTGACTCCAAAACCCTGGCTCCGTTCACTCTATCTCTGCTGTCCTTAGGACACACTGCAGGACAGAGGCTACAGAATCTGCTAGTTCATCTCCTGGCTACCCAGTCTTCCCCCAGTGGCATTCTACAATCTAATTACAGTGGCATTCTACAGAATCAATTATCCTAAAGCCCATCTCTAATCATATCACTAAGGCCTCAAACACCTTTAGTGGCTCCTCACTGAAAACGGAATTATGTACAACCTTCCCACCATCATGTGACCTCAGCCTGTCTGTACAGCCTCATTTCCTCTACTCATCCACACTAGACACTCCAGGATTTCTTGTCTGACCTGGCCATACCTCAGTTTCCTTGCCTCTGTGCCTCTGCTCATGCCATTCCCGCTGTTTGAATGCCTTCCTAAATAGGTCTCTTTGTCAAATTCCTAAAAATCCTACAAGGGCCATCTAAAATACCACTTTCTTCAAGAACCCTCCCAGGCCCTTCCTTTGAAGCCTGGGAGTCCTCTGTCTTCACCTCTCATCATTTCAAACTAACTTATTCTATGGTAACTATACAACTTGGCTTATTCTCCACCAAATAAATAACAAGTTCCTTTGCTAGATGTTGAATCCACCTGAGTACTTAGCACAGTTTCTAACTCACGGCATGTGACCAGTAAATGTTTGCCAAATTGAGATAAGGAGTTAAAATACACAACAGCTCTTAATACAGATAGTATTTCTCTGACTATAAATATTTCAACCAAGGTAAGATGTTCCAGAAAGATTCATAGAAAGGTGCTTGTCCACATTAGGCTCATTGTGATTAGCCTATGAAGCTCATATGTGCCTTGAGACTAGCCTAATCAACTGAGAACAGTACCTGAGCAGTCACTACCTCTCTAGCCACACAAGACCGACTACCATGCATGAGGTGTTAATGAACAGGAAAGGCAAAACTGAGTCTCCTCTGCATTCCTATACTACAAGCCATCTCTGCAGCTGATCTGGCATTCAGTCATGTACTGACAGGAAATGGAACAGCAACCACATGTTGCCTATTTTTATATCCCTCAAAGAGACTAGCATAGTTTCATTCTTCGAAGGTGCTCAAAATATCTGCTGGATAGATACAGGAATAAATAAGGTGGAAATACATCTTGGACTTTCATGATGACTGTTTCCTGCCCCAGGATCTTTGCACATGCCATTCTCATTGCTGGTATGATCTCCTCCATTTCCACACCTCATCCCCCATCAACACACACACACACACACATGCACCTCTTTATTTAGCAAGCTCCTTATCCTTCAGATGTCAGCATAAACAACCCTTCGTAGAAGGGACTTCCCAGACCACTCTATTTTAGGTTGCATTTAGTACAATTTGAAATTATGTGGTTTGTTTGTTTGCTTGCTTTTGTTTACTCCCTCCTCCTGGTTTCTCTTGTTCTTGGCCATCACCTCAGCACCCAGAACCCAGTCAGGCACATAGAAGGCACTCCAAGCACATTTGGGAATGAATAAAAATTTAATACGTTAACGGTGGGGAAAAAGATGGAAAATGCAAAAAGAAGCAAAGAAGAAAGTTTAAATAATTTATAATAGCAACTCTCAGAGAAAATCACTGTTAATATGTCAGTGTGTAAATGCTTGTAGTTCTTTTCTACGAGTATAAAAATATGCATATATAGTTACACTGTCAGTATTAAACTAAACATACTGTTTTGTAACTTGCTTTTTTATCTAAAAATATGCAATGAACAATCCCCATGGCATTAAATATGCTTCTAATATGTGGTTGTTAGTTGATGAAAATTATTCTCTTATCTAAACATACTATAATATATTTAACTAATCTCCTATTATGAAGCATTGAGGTGTCTTCCAAATCATTTATTATAAATAACCTCATAAGGAAGTGATGAACATCCTTCTATATAAATCTTCAGGCATATCTCTGATTATTTTCTCAAGATAAATTCATATTGATTTGATTTTGAGGTAAGTTAACATTTTTAGGCTACTGATATCATTTTCCAAACTGCTCTTCAGAAAAATTACAGAAATTTATATTGCCACTGGTTGTCAGCTAATGTTGACGCAAGCCCTTTTCTCTCACACCTTTGTCAATCTGGGTATTATCCTTTTTTTTTTTTTATCTTTACCAGTTTGATGTATGAAAATAGATATCCCCTGTTTCAATTTTAATTTCTTATCTTATTGATAAAGTTACTAGCTTGATTTCCATGTGATAGTTCACCAATTTCAAGTTGATCTGGGTTGATCCAGAGATACGTGTTTCTTGGGGTAGGTAGTCCTGAGTCATCTGTTCATTTGACTTTTACTCACTAAAATGACTGTATTGAGTAGGTAAGAGATGAGTAATAAGGAACCTTCTTCACCAGCCACATTCCACTGATTTTCAAAGCTATTTCATTTTAGAGGTCTTCCAAAGGCTTCATTTTTCTAACAAATATTTCCACACTGCTCGTGTATATCTGGACTTTCTAACACTTAGGGACTCTGAAGCCAGAACTGTGGGCCAGAGCATCCTAACTACTCCTGCCAGAGCTTCCATCCTAGGGCAGCAAGATACCTGGGCCGCCTGCAGTAGGCACGCCCTAAAAACCCAAACACACTCCACTTAATGGCTGGTCAGTGCTGCCTTCTGTGTTCTGCTCAGTTTCCAGGGATGAGATGTGCCTACTTGCAGAGGCTTCCTGCCTTTCCTCTTTATTTCTCACTCTATGGCCATCACAGAGAGACAGGCTTTTCCCTATCCTATGAGGCACAATTAGCATACTGGAACACCCTGCATGTGACGAGGCATCAAGAGCCTGTGTTTCCTCTAGTCCCAGGTCCATGTCAGTGGTCTTGGGAATATCACCTAATCTGTCTGATATTTTGTTTCTTTTCTGGAAAATGAGTTGGATCAAATAAACTCTAAGCTCCCTCCCAACTCTAACCAAATCTAATGAGTTCAATGAATCTTAGTTTAAGACAGGTTGGGAATATCCTAAAAATATATCTGTTCACCACTTCAAAAAGTGTGCCCTGAGATCACAACAGAGGGTCCTGGGCAGAGCTGGAGAAAAATGTAGAACAAAATTCTAACTCACAAAAAAAGACCAGAATTACTGGCCTGACAGAGACTGGAGAAACCCTGAGAGTATGGCCCCCAGACACCCTTTTAGCTCAGTAATGAAGTCACTCATGAGGTTCACCATCCAGCCAAAGATTAAACAGCCTCATAAAACAAAATGAGACAAATGGGGTACAACAGTCCAGGGACAAGAACTAGAAGGCAGGAGGGGATAGGAAAGCTAGTAATAGGGAACCCAAGGTTGAGAAGGGACAGTGTTGACATGTTGCCGGGTTGTTAACCATTGTCATAAAACAATATGTGTACTAACTGTTTAACTAGCAACTATTTGTTCTATAAACCTTCATGTAAAGTACAACAGAAAAATAACAACTATGCCCTGAAGCTTCATAAGGTCACTGTTCAACATCTTCACCTTCCTCCTGTCCTCAGTCTCATACAAAGGATACAAGCACATGACTGCTTCTGGGACTGAAAGCTGGACTTTCCTTTGAATAATTGCTGGACTTCCTCAAACTTTCCAGTGGTTCCAGAAGAACCATCCTAATGCAGGTGATTGACTGTACAGTTATTAAAAGCTTAGTTATATTTTATAAAATATTTTTTAAAATAAAGTTTGACTCTTGAGTAATCTCTTTTAGAAAGTTTAAAAAGGAGAGACTATTTCCCAGAAACATCCTCTCTATTTCCACCCACCTCTCTCTCCCTAGGAGTTACGGTCACTGCCATGGATACCTGACTCAGAAGGCCTGAGGAAGGAGACAGACCTGGACCCAGAGACTCAGGAGGCAAAAGTTCAGGGTTGTGTGTGTGTTGCCATCCAAAGTCAAGTGGAAGGTATTTTGAATTGTGTACAGTGCTCAGCTACACTTACTTTGAACAATTAAATTCACTTCATATTTTATAGCAGCTGAAGAAACCATAATGACCAGAGGTTTAGAATTAGCCAGGATCCCTCTCATACTATACATATGCCCAAGAATGGGAAGTATTTCAAGCCACTGCACCAACATTGTTTAGTGTTGAGGACTGTATTTTAGAATTCAATGTATATGCACAAAAAGACTCACCTATTTGCTTCTCCAAAGATGGTGCTATAGGTCTTTGGCGGGTAGACTGGCAAAAGAGAAAAGATGTATAATAAATATGAAGTCCTTTAGGCAAAGGAGGTAGGACTGTCAAAAAGAACCCAAATACCTCAGAATCTCTCCTAACTCAGACTTTGGCCAAGCAGTTACGCCTCTCTGTGGCTCCGTTTTGTGATTTCAAATAGTACCAGTATTTTTAAAGTATTTTCAAGGAGATTAAGTTTGGTCGTTTGAACAAATTCACCTCTAAGCAAGACTCAATGTTTATTTTATATTTTGAATCACTAGGTGTGAGGCAGTAAATAGCTAGGCAGGCTGATTTGCCAACTGAGAAAAGAATTGTAAATGCTGATACTATCTTGGCCTTAATCTTTTACAAAACAGAGAGATAAAAAAATCCCTTCACACTTATGGCTCTCCGTTTCTCTACGTGTAGCATGGAATGACGAGAATAACACATTTCCAAGAGAGGTAAAAAAGATCGAAAAGCACTTTGCAAACAAGACAGCGGACCACAGTGGCCCTCAGCGCCCACTGCAGCAAAGCTGTCTCAGTGACCCCAGCGCACAGCCACCCACAGGCCAGGCTTACCTCTCTGAGTTCAGCCAGCTCCTTCTGCAGGTGGAAGAGCTGGAACATCCCCAGCCCCAGTCCAACCAGGGCCACCAGAACCATGAAAAACATCACAAGGAGACATAGGCCTGTGTTGTGGTTCCTTCTCTTCTTCAGAAGTGATGGTGGGAATGGAGGCAATGGTGGCTGTGGCCGTGATGGCAGTGGTGGAGGTGGGGGTGGTGGCGGCCTCATTTGACCGGGCCTTCCAGGCACAGAGGAAGGGCAGGGGAGAACAGACGCTGGAGGGGCCAAAGGAGAGCTGGTGCTGCTGTCCACCCAGTAGATTTGGGGGTATGGGTAATTCAGTGACTGCCACATGGCAACCAGGAACCTGGGCCAGCCTTCAGGCAAAGGGTTTTACTTCTTCTCAATCCTGTGTAGGCTGAGATGTCAGAGAAGGAGACTCCTGTTGCTAACTGCTCGAGAGAAGGGAAGCCGGCACTCTCTTTATAGAGTTTCCACAGCTAAGGGAAACACTTCTCTCGATCTCTCTTTCTGTTTCTCAGAGAGACACCCACTCACTTTGTGTCTGAAGCTGAGAAGCCTCAAGGAGCTCAGAGCAATTTGCGTCTGAAGTTGAGAAGTCTCAAGGAGCTCAGAGCAAACCCCTGGAAGTTTCCACCCACAATTTTCTGATGAAAGCTTTCAAAGCCCCAATCGCTGTCACTGCGCTACCTGAAAAGGCTGGTAGGTTAGGCTTGGTCTTTCTCAGACCTGCTGGAGCAGGTGAGAATCAGGGGCCAGTCCTGTGGGCATTACCTGCTGCCCAACTGCAGGGAGAGCGGTCAGTGGGACACATTCAGGCACTGAGGGGAGAGAACATTGAGTTGTGGCCAGAGTAATCACCTCCACATCTCACCTTTTGCATGAGCTGCCATCCCTTCCCCTAACCCAAGTACTATTTACCCTGACATTGCAAAACACCAGAATTTGCAGGAGAAAAAACCCTGCCCCACCCACTCTCTAGAGATTAGATCAGAAGTTGCAAACCTGTGGCACATAGGCCTTATAGAACCCACAGGCCTGCTTTGTTTGTACCTCACAATGTTTTTCTTCTAATTGACTGTCTACTTTTAAAATTAGGAGATTCCACATCAAAAATACAGGTTTCTATTCTGTCTTGAAACATTAGAAGACCGGGCACACTCAAGGCCATCTCTGCAAACCCAGTTGGTGTGAGCTGGGTAGCAGCTGCCCCTGTGGACAGGTCCCTGGAGTTCCAGGTCACCCAGGCTCCCCATCCTCCACTATGTATCACACACCATCACATGCAGGAAATGGCTTCCTGGTCATTGCAGGAATTTCTGTTTGCAGCTCCTGTTAGGTTTGCCAGATAAAATGCAGGACACCCAGTTAAATTTGAATTTCAGATAAACAGTGAATAATTTTTAGCATAAGTATGCCCCAAATATTGCATGAAACATACTAAAAAATATGTGTTTTTTATTTGAAATTCAAATTTAACTCTTGAACTCACATGTGGCTTTGCTTATAGTCATTAAAGACAGCGTCGTGGATTGAACTGTGTCCCCAGAAAATATACATCAACTTGGCTAGGCCATGATTCCCAGTATTGTATGTTTGTCCTCCATTTTGTGATCTGATGTAATTGTCCTATGTGTTGTAAATCCTAATCTTTGCCTGTAGTTAATGAGGTAAGATTAGGCTATGTTACTCAGGTCATAGCCCTGATCCAATGTAAGGGGGGGTTTTCTTGGGGTATGGTCTGCATCATCTTTTATCTTACAAGAGATAAGAGGAGAGAGAAATGAGCAGACGGACTTCCTACCACCAACAAAGAAGAGCCAGGAGGGGAGCGTGTCCTTTGGACCTAAAGTCCTTGTGCTGAAAAAACTCCTAGACCTAGGGGAAAACTGATGACAAGGACCTTCCTCCAGAGCCAACAGAGACGGAAAGACTTCCCCTGGAGCCGGCGCCCTGAATTCGGACTTCTAGCCTCCTAGCTGTGAGAGAATAATTTCTGTTTGTTAAAGCCATCCACTTGTGGTATTTCTGTTATAGCAGCACTAGATAAGTAAGACAGACAGTAAGTTTAAAAGTTCATAATAATCAGCTTCAGAAGAAAACATTCTTTGATGGTTACGAGGGTGGGGAGGAAGGGTGAGGGTTATTTATTGACTAGATAGTAGATAAGAATTATCTTAGGTGAAGGGAAGGACAGCACACACTACAGGGGAAGTCAGCACAACTGGACTAAACCAAAGCTAAAAATGTTTCCTGAATACAATCAAACACTTTGAGAGACAGAGTAGAAGGGGTAGGGGTCTGGTGACCATGTTTTCAGGGGACATCGAGGTCAACTGGCATAACAAAGCTTATTAAGAAAATGTTCTGCATCCTACTTTGGTGAGTGGCGTCTGGGGTCTTAAAAGCTTGCAAGCGGCCATCTAAGATGCATCAATTGGTCCCAACCACCTGGAGTAAAGAAGAATGAAGAACACCAAAGACACAAGGAAAGTCTTAGCTCAAGAGACAGAAAGGGCCACATAAACCAGAGACTTCATCAGCCTGAGACCAGAAGAACTAGATGGTGTCTGGCTACCATCAATGACCGCACTGACAGGGAACACAACAGACAGTCCCTGATGGAGCAGCAGAAAGGTGGGGTGCAGAACTCAAATTCTAGTAAGAAGACTAGACTTAATGGTCTGACTGAGATTGGAGGAGCCCCGGAAAGCATGGCCCCTGGATTCTCTATCAGCCCAGAACTAAAATAATTTCTGAGGCCAACTCTTCAGACAGGGATTGGACTGGACTGTGGGACATAAAGTGATACTCATGAGGAGTGTGCCTCTTAGCTCAAGTAGATACCAGAGACCAAAGGGGCAGCTTCTGTCCAGAGGTGAGATGGGAAGGCAGAGAGGGTTAGGAGCTGGTTGAATGGACATGGGGAATCAGGTGGAAAGGAGGAGTGTGCTGTCGCAGTATGGGGTAAGCAATTAGGGTCACATAACAATGAATGTATAAATTTTTGCATGGGAGACTAACTTGAAATGTAAACCTCATTTAAACTACAAAAAAAAAAGTTCATATTCAGCTAGAAAATATAATTTTAAGAATTCTACCACAATCTTAAAAGCTAGCGAGCGGCCATCTAAGATGCATCAATTGGTCCCAACCCACCTGGGGTAAAGGAGAATGAAGAACATCAAAGACACAAGGAAAGTATTAGCCCAAGAGACAGACAGGGCCACATAAACCAGAGACTTCATCAGCCTGAGACCAGAAGAACTAGATGGTGCCAGGCTACCACCAATGACTACCCTGACAGGGAACACAACAGAGAGTCCCTGATGGAGCAGGAGAACAGCTGGGTGCAGAACTCAAATTTTAGTAAAAAGACCAGACTTAATGGTTTGACCGAGACTGGAGGGACCCCAAAGACTTGGCTCTTGGGCTCTCTGTTAGCCCAAAACTAAAACCATTCCCGAGGCCAACTCTTCAGACAAAGATTAGACTGGACTATGGAACATAAAATGATACTCGTGAAGAGCGTGCTTCTTAGCTCAAGTAGATGCATGAGACTAAATGGGCAGCTCCTGTCCACAGGCAAGATGAGAAGGCAGACAGGGTCAGGAGCTAGTTGAATGGACATGGGAAATCCAGGGTGGAAAGGAGGAGTGTGCTGACACAGTATAGGGAGAGCAACTATGGTCACATAACAATGTGTGTAACTTCAATTGTAAACTTTTGTTTAAACCACAATAAAAATTAACAAAAAGGAAAAAGAAATATTAAAAAAACAAGAATAGTCACCATAAATTTTCAGAGGAATTTAAATCATTCTTTAAACATTTAGTTCAGAGCAGAAACTCTCAGGTGAGCTTATAAATTTTATGGATTACTACAGTTTGGGAGTATAATTACTCTTCATTTTTTTTTTCAAGATTTAATGAGTGCTTAGACCTAATTTAAAGAAAAATGGACATAAGTGAAAAAATAATAATTTGTAGTTTGTATTTCACTAATTTTTTTATCATATGAATTATCTTTCCTTAGGATTTAATCTAAAATATATATTAAAATCATAAGTTACTTGGACTTATTTTTCTTAATTTGTGTTGTATTTTGTTTTTGGTTTTTTTGTTTGGTGCTTTTTTTAAAACTTTTTATGTAAGAAAGAAAGTCAACATAATATGGTTCTCAAAGCAAACAAAATTAACAGTGGACATCAAATAATTTGTTTCACAAAAAAAAAAAAAAGAATTCTACCACAATCATAAAAAGCCCTTAAAATATCCTAAAATAACTCTAACAAGAATTATACAGGTCTGTATTTTAAAAATTATAAAAATTTTACTGAAAATGGCAAAGATTCAAATACATGGAAAAACAGACTAAATCCTGGGTGGGGAGGATAGAGAGGTAGTATTGCATGATGGTTAAGAATGGGCTCTGGAGTTAAACTGCCTGGGTTCAACTCCCAGCTCCACCACTTATTATCTGTGTGAACTGGACAGGTCACTTTCTGTTTTCTGCGCCTTAGTTCCCTCATCCCCCAAAAGGGCATGATCATAACAGTATCTACCTCACAAGGCACTGTGAGGATTAAATAAGTCAAAATATGGGATACACTTAAAAGAGTCCCTGGCAACAAGGTGAAACAAAAAAATAAATAAAAACAGTTGCCGTCAAGTCAATTAGATTCATGGCGACCCCATGTATTTCAGAGTGGAACTGTGCATGGAGTTTTCAATGGCTGATTTTTCAGAAGTAGATCATCAGGCCTTTCTTCAGAGGCGCCTCTGCGTGGACTTGACCCACCAATTCTATTAGCAGGTTTCCAAATGTTTAAATATTGCACGACCCACAGACTCAGAAACAAAGTAAGCCCTCAAGAAATGTTAGTTGTTAATGTTGTAAACTTATCAAATCTCTCCCAAGTAATTCATCTACAAACTTAATGGAATTGACCCTCTTCTGTTAAGGATAAACAAGGTGTGAAGGAGGAGACGGGTTGCAGGGAAAAGTGCAAATTCAATGCTTGACATCTAATATCTCTCAGAGATTCTACTGCTGGACTGATGGACCCTCTGCCTCAGGCAAAAACCCTCTGCTTTTTACCTCAAACTTCCACCAAATCTTCTAGGATTCTCCAATAAGGACTGTGTTGTATTTGTATATCTCCCTCTGCCTTGCTTCTTCTCTTGATTCATATTGTGATAGGACTCAGAAGCCCAATACCTGCCCCTAACATACCCATTGTCCCCCAAGCTTAGGGAGAATCTGAAGTGAAATAGAGACAAGGAGAGTAGCCTTTAAACACCTGTGTCGCTCTGGTAATGCCACCAAACATCGCAGGTAGCCAAAATCATGGGGGAAGAAACAAACACCCCTCAGCATAATAATGGGACCTCATCACATTTTGAGGCACTATCAGAACCCTGCTAATTAGGAAAAATAATCTTTTTAAAATAAACCTAAGCTCTGTGGTTGCTGAAGAAAAAAAAAAAATTTCCC